GCGGGTGGTGGTGGTGCGCGCGGAGGACGTCGGCGGGAGGGCGGCGGAGACGCTCGAGGCGGTCGGGGCCGCGCTCGGGCTGGGGGAGTGGGGCGAGGAGGCGGAGGGGCTCGTTAGTAACTCGAGGAAGGGCGGGCGGTTTGTGTGGGCCGACGAGTGGGACGGCGAGGACGAGGAGGCGCTGTACAACTCCGGCGTGGAGATGTTGCACGGGACGAGGAAGGCGCTGGATGCGATGTGGAGGGGGGAGTGTCTGTGGCTGAAGGAGGAGTGGGGCGTTGCTTATGATGACGTTTGCTGAGCTGTTGCGGGTGAGGTTTTATTAAGAGCATCCCCACCGGCGCCAAGGCAAATAGGCAAACAGGCAAAACTATTTTCATACGTGTAAGTCTCTCCCTGGCCAGTTGACGTTTTTCCTATTTGCTGTTTTTCCTCTACCACTGTCTTCTACACCCGTCAAGCCGCAGTTATTAAGTTTAAGGAGTTTGACCATCGCGCCGGGAGCGACAATCAAGGCATTATGGATTATGTGCTGCAAGACGAGTTTCATGCCTCCTTCCTTGACGACCCAATGCAGCTTTTCTCGAGTAGTGACGACGACAGTGACGACAAAGTCATCCGCAGAGGCTCCCGTGCTGGTCGTTCTGGAAATATTGAAAGAGGCAGAGAATCAGCTGCTCTGCGTTTGCACAATGATTACTTTGCACCAACTCCAACCTACACTGCTCACCATTTTCAGCGTAGATTCCGCATATCGCGGTCTGTGTTCGGCAGAATTATCGCGGCAATACCGACAAGTGATATTTATTTTGTACAGCGCGAGGACTGTACGAAAGGAAAGGGATTTACTTGCCACCAGAAAGCCACAGCAGCGCTGCGTTTACTTGCCTATGGCATCACAGCCGACTCGGTGGATGAATACATTCGGATGGCAGAACCGACCGCGTTTTCTTTGACGTACAAGGGGAAGTCGAAGCGAAAGCATGGGCCACGATTGGAACGCCATTTCCAGGAACAGGTGTGGAATTCATGGAGTACCGGTTGGACTTTCAAAGTATCGAGACTGTTTGCTCACCAATTGGTGATGATTTTACCAGTTGTAGAGAGCATAGAGACCAACGGGGATATGTATTTGTCCGGATTAGCGCGAACAGTGTTTACTTTCACTGTACATTTCCTGGTTTCGCGCCAAAAGTTGCCCAATGGTTTACTTGCACTTGGAAAGTCATAAACTATTTGTAGGATAGCACCTGAGGCAAATTCCGGATATTTGCCTCCGTTTTTCGGAGGGTGCTATATTTTTTCCTCTGTTTTTGGACGAGTAGGGTTGCATTTCGGAGGAAAAAAAGCAAATAAAGTAATTTGCTGATTTGATCAAGTGCCGGTGGGGATGCTCTGAGGTTTATCAGTTGCAACGGTGCAATTGATGAGCAACTGCGACGATGTAATTTTACAGTGCAATGGGTGCATCCAGAAAATAGCACTCTAACACTTTACCATTGTATGATAGTTTCAAAAATTGATTGTCCCCACCACTCTTGCACTCCATCACTGCCCTTCCGTGGCGGTTCCACCCCAGTTGGAACATGTTGCGAACTGTACACCCACCGAACTGTACACCCACTCGCACCCCCACTCGCCGACAACCTCCCCATCCCCTAATCCCAAAGCGAGCCACACCTTCCTCCTCAAACCTGGCGCCCGCATTCTGACACTGTCATCTCAACATGGCATCCCTTTTGGACGCATCCGACCCTCCCTCTCAAGCTACCCCTTTCCCTCAGCCACCATCCACGCCAAACTCCCCACGCATCCCCAAAAAACGCTCGACACCTGACCAGGAGGAGCTCAGTACTGGCGAAGGAAGCAACAAGAAGGCTAAAAAGTCTCGGGCCGGTGTGCCAAACTACAACAAAGAAGATATCGACGCCCTTCTTGATTTTACTTCAGAGGCAGAGTCTCTCGGCGCCAATCACTGGGCTTGGGTTGCCCAAAAGTTTTCAAGATGGGCAAAAGCTAACGAGCGCCCAGTTCGTGATGGTGACTCTCTCAAGCATAAATTTGATAAGCTTGCCAACACAAAGAAGAAAACCGGGGACCCGTCCTGTCCGCCTCACGTTCGCCGAGCCAAACACATTGCACGTGATATTCTCAACAAATGTGCGGCCACAAGCGTTAGCGGAGACAGCAGTGACGGCAATCAAGAGGCCAATGCAGGCGAGAGCGATAAAGCGGGCACGGGTGGTGATAGTGGCAAAGTAGTCGGGGAGAGGGCTCGAAAGAGAGACACAGGAGCCACCGGTGTGGCAAAGGCTCAACAGATTGAGGAACGATACCTGGAGCACGTTGCAGAAATATCTGCCTGTGTTCAGACTATATCGAAGGCATTCGAGTCCAGCGAATCGACTAACTTGACTCAGAGTAGCGTGGTCTCCATTGTGCGTCACGAGGTTCAAGAGTCAATGCGTCCAACAAACGCGCTTCTGTCGGAGATGATGTCTATCATTCGTAGCCAGTCAAACAAATGAACGATCCGCTTTTATTGTGCTGGTCGCCGGTTACAGTGCGTAGAACGAATTTGGTTTCGGCCGACATGGCGAGTGCGAAAGTTAAACATGTGACAACATATTCTCAGCAAACGATATCGTTTCTTAGAATCTGCAGGAAGAGGCACCTTCAATCTGGCAAAAGGGCCTTTTATTGCCCTCACTCCCCATTCCGCCGACTGTCTTTCACTGGGCATTGCGCGCTGTAAAATTGTATCCACCGCAGCAAGGGCGAGCGAACACGGAATGTCGTTCGTTTCGTTAGACTTCCGTCCTCTAACGACCTTTCCGTTTGTCGCTTTCAAATTATTAACGAATGCGCTATCCCCAAGTACAGCGTATCCAGGCGGCGTGTATTCGTCCGATAACTTTGGAAAGTAAAGACCAGATGCACTGGCAAGTTTAGTGTCGTGCCAGCTCCCCGGGAAATTTATAGCCGCATGAATCAGCTCGCCATAGAAGTTCCAAACGAATAAGTTGGTGACTTCCACCCCTTGGGTGAACCCTTTAAAGTAGGCATTTTGCATATTAGCATCAGTGTAATCTGCACAAGGCATACGACCTCCGTCTGTAACCGCGAAGACACCACTCAACAACGGCCCGTACTGACGATTTTCTCGAAGTAGCTGCGCTGAGCTTTCCATCTCGGCCGGCGAAGGCCATTTTATTTCGAAATCTGTTCGATTCGTCCGCTTGACGACATGATACAGAACCTCAAGGGCATAATCCATCCAGACTTCAATAGAACTTGGTACTAAACCAAACAGCGGACACAAGCTGTATAGGGTCCCTCTTGTTTTTATGTACCAAAGAGCCAACCCCAACAAATCAATACTTTCCAATTGCGTACTGCGTCCTCTTGTTTTCGGTCCCCTTCGATAAGGGCTACCGAAGTTACATTTCAATTGTTCCTGTATACAAAATGGAAGTATACTGTTTAGCAGTAAGGGCTTCGTGATATTTACGGATACAAGGAAGTCGGAGTCTTTCCCGAACGAGAGAAGCACGCGCCAAGGAGTGGACCGCTGTGTGCGAGGGCGAATAATGGCTGGGCGGAGGTACTTTGGGTTCTTGTTGCGATGACGGCGCTTGCGGCGCATTGTTGTCCTCCTCCGGGCGACAAGACATGTCGTCAGAGCTGCTAGCGATACTGCTAGAGCTGCCAGAGTGTGCTTGAGGCTGTTCTGAAAGGGCATTGGCGAAGCGGGCATCACCGACAGCTCGAGAGAGGGGTCTTGGAATGTGGAACTCCAGTGCGCAAGGATGGAATGGGAAGTGGTGCGGGAGTGGTGGAGTGGAGAGGGGTCGAGAGGGCTTGATCAGATGGTCAAAAGTAGTCAGCCGGCGACCACTTTATCGGTCGCTGATTGGTCAAAAAAGTAGTCGAGTGATACAGTGTTATTTTCTGGATGCACCCAATGAATGCGCCAGATTTGGGTGCGCCAGATTGGTGACAAGCAGATTTGGGACAGCTTGTCCTCTGCTTCAATTACATCCGCCAGATGTGGGACAGCCTGTCCTCCGCCGCAGAATCGGAATGTTTTTACTGGACACGCAGTTGCACGAAAACATGTCAGCGTCGCATGCGCGTTGGTGCTACCTTCGAAGGTACATGCAGCATGGCCACTGCAACATTATGCAGTACCCTTGGGTACGTATAGACTCTGCCACGCACTGTATAGCCCCGTGCCGTGCCGTTGTTGACAGTCAAACTCTTATCCATCTACAGTATGGTTTACCCTTGGGTAATGATTTTTAAAGGGAGTTTTTCAAACATACAGGAAGTTTAGACCATTCCGAAAGTTTCAATTCCACAGCTTGGTGCGCTCGTTTACACCATTTGCGACCGACACTCGAACACGGAGACTGCCCTTGAAAGAGTGGTAGTACTGTAGACATGTAAAATCATTTGCCATGGTAAGATCAGGGATCGTGACAGTGGGGTGCTACGGATTGTGGCAAAAGAGAGAGAGCCTGATCAGGCTCCTGACGGTGGACAAATGGGCGGAGGTGAATACGATGATCAGCATGAACGCTGGGCACGGTGCCTCCTATCTTTTCTTCTCATGGTCTATGCCGCATTAAGTACTACGCTGCTGTCTCTTCGTTTACCCCATTTCATCATCCCGGTACATGAATTGCGATAAGCATTCATTGCCGCGGGTTGCATTGCTCGCTTTCCTCCGCTTAACGGTGTTTTTGCCGCTACCGTCTGCACATCTGTCTGCCACAAGGGTAAGCGTCCCCTGGCGTATGCTTGTGTCGCCTGCATTCCTCTAGATAATTGAGGGCAACGACATACAAAAGTCTCTCCTTAGAAGAATGACACGCAAAAGAATATTCTTTTTAGTAGAATACATACACTGTTTCCCGTCCTGGGAATGGCCAAAACAACCCTATTTTCATGACATTTATTCATATGCGACATAAGAATGTAGAATGTCGAATGTCGCTTTATCCCATGGAGTACAGTATGTAGAAGGGAACGTATTTTGGTCCTCTAAAACGGCCAAACAGATGTCCGAGATCTGCTTGGTATAATGTTCAGACAGATGTTCCGAATTTGGCTGTACTGCACTACCTTCGGTGCATCAATAGAGATCTCTCAGCTGGCAAAGTGCAAACGCAGAAGCAGACGAGAATTGATTCCTTCTTTTCAGGGGCCAGTAACCTTGCTGGACAAGCCTCATAACTGCCGCCATAGGAGTATTCTCTTTACACCAGTACTGTGGCATAGAAATATTCCGTAGCGTGCTTTGACTTCGGTTCCAACTTGCAATTTTTTTTGAAAAGAGTAAAACCTACCAAAGAAAAATAGAAACCGTGGACATCAAAGTTGAAAAGAAATAAAATTCGCTATGATAACGCTTGGTCGGATGGACACTACAGTAATCTCTCTTTATAAGAATGAGGACGGGAAAGGACATTATTATTCATGTAAAGAGAATATTCGTATGGCGGCAGTTATGATGCTTGTGCAGCAAGGTTACTGGCCCCTGAAAAGAAGGAATCAATTCTCGTTTGCTTCTGCGTTTGCACTTTGGCAGCTGAGAGATCTCTCTTGGTGCACCGAAGGTAGCGTAGTACAGCCAAATTCGGAACATCCGTCTGACCATTATACTGTACCAAGCAGATCTCGGACATCTGTTTGGCCGTTTTAGAGGACCAAAATACGTTCCCTTCTACATACTGTACTCCATGGGATAAAAGCGACATTCGACATATATTCTTATGTCGCATATGAATAAATGTCATGAAAATAGGGTTGTTTTGGCCATTCCCAGGACGGGAAACAGTGTATGTATTCTACTAAAAAGAACGTTCTTTTGCGGGTCATTCTTTTAAAGAGAGACTAGCGTGTTGTGAGAATCGGTCTCACGATTCGATTATAGTGCTAATTGATCTCAAGCTCTCAAGAACAACCGGCATTCATGTGAATCACACATACAGCAGTCTCTCTTTATAAGAATGAGGACGGGAAAGGACATTATTATTCATGTAAATTAGCCTATAGAAAAATGCGTACAGTAAGCCAATATTTTCTTTGAAAAAACACCTTTATGCGCGTCAACGAGTTGGTTTTCGCCAGAATCGACAAGCAAGTGCATTACTTGTAGTGATGGCGCCCTGGTTGCCTTTTATTTCTTTATTCAATGTCCTTTTGAGAGCAAAACCTTGTCTAGAAAAAAAAAAAAAAAAAAGTGCCTTCGCCACGCCGGCCACATACTACTCGTACAGGAACAGCACAGCGTTCGGCGGCGAGGGGATACGTGCATAGTCGCGTGGATATTCGCGTGCATAGGGGCCGGCCGTCCGAATGCACGCCCGCCCCTCGCGCCAAGGCAAGCAGCGAGGAAAGTACCGAGGAACACGGCTGAGGGCCGGAGCGGTTTTCGCATGTGCTTGCGAGGGTGGTCGAGAAAATTAGGATTGCGGTAAAGATGCAGAGAGCAATACTGTACGTACTGTAGAGTACAAAGGTCGAGAGATCGTTCCATGTGCCCGTCGCCGCCGACCGCCGACTGTTGACAGTGTCCGAGTCGCGATGCAGCCAGAGGTCGAAGGGCTAAATTATGCATTTGCCCCGCATGAAGGGCTATGCTTGCCCCGCATGAAGGCCAACTCTCGCACTGCCGCGTTTCTCACCGTCGTGCTTGGTTGCGCGTTTTTGGACACAGCCTTGCCCCGTGCGCCATACGGTCTTGCATTTTGCGACCATATTTCTGAGGGCCTCCTTTAAGACAGCATGGACGATAATGGAGACAATGCGCGACAGCACGACTACTGACTGCACCAAAAAAAACTAACGCCGTCGAGTGTACCGTGCACGTGCACGGTGCTCTCATCTCTCCGCGATGTCTGCCGCGGGGCCTGTCGTTACGGTACACGACAGTTGGCATTGTCAACTAGAGTTGTCAGGGACGAGTTGTCAGGGCGGCAGCCCTGTGCCAAATACGTCCACGTGCCGTACGGTACACCGTAGTACCTGGCGGCTCCTGCTTTTCGGAACACCCGATGAAAGTGAAACGGATCTCAAGTCTTCAGCGTTCCCGCTCTTCCGGGGCGCGCCCGATCTCGCCGCTGCATGTCGAGAGTTGCTCCGCTCCATGTCCATTCGGCCCCACATTCCCGCGCCCCGCCATCCCCTCGTGTGCCCCACCACCGTCGCCATATGCGTGCACTACCAATGGTACACCAAACACCTACTTTTCACATGTTCAGCGCAACAATGGCACGTGTCTGGGGGCACCCCACATATCAACTTGATATGTGGGGTGCCCCCAGACAGGTTGATATTATCAACCCACGTAACAGCCCATGCGCCCTCCCACGCGCCCTCTCACGCCCCCCGCCCGCGCCCCCCTCCCGCGCCCCCCTCCCGCGCCCCCCTCCCGCGCGCCCTCTCACGCCCCCCGCCCGCGCCCCCCTCCTATGCGCCCTCCGGCGCCCTCTCGTTTCATTCCGTTCTGACACCGCTCGGCCCTGACACCGCTCGGCCCGAGCGCGTAAAAAAGCGACCGCTCTCCGATCCGGTGAGCGGTATAAAAAAGCCGCCGCCGCCCCTCGTACTGCAACCGCACGACGC